TTAATATGAAGTCATTTAATCCTTACAGTTCTTATTACGATCCCTATTTTAGAGATGAGGAAAGTAGGACTCTGGGAGGAAAGTAACTTGCCCAAGGTCACACAGCTAAGAAGTGGCAGGAGTGGGATTCAGGCCTAGTGCACCAAAGAGCAGCCTATGCCTCAGGAAGAAGGAAGGGGCTGGGGACATTAAGCTGCAAAAGAGAAGGTCACATAGGGGTGGAGGTGCCAGGCAAGAAAGCAGAGTGAATCTTGGGGCCTCCAGGGTAAGGCTAAGTCAGTAGGGGTGGAGGCAGTCCAGGGACACCGATTTCAGCTCAGAGAGGGAGGGAGGCATCCTTGGCAGAGGGAACAACATGCCCAAAGGCTCAGAGGCTTGCTGGGGAAATTTCTGCATGTGCTGGGGGAAAGTTGGTATGATGCTCAGCTGTGGGGAGCAGTGGCAGAGACGGAAGCTTTAGAAATTGAGGCCAGATTGTAAAGGGCTTGAAGGCTGGGCAGAGGGTCTGGACTCTGTCCTGGAAACAGAGGGAGACAGTGGAGGTTGTAAAGCAGGACTGTGACAGTGTGAGATCCCTGCAGCTGCTGCCGTGGCTGAGATCAGGAGGGGAGGGGCTGAGGGTCGGAGGCCAGGGAGGAGTTCAGGGAGTTGTGCTTGGACAGGAGAAGGCCAGAGGGGTAGTTTCCTGGTCAAGAGGGCTTGGCTGGTCCCTGGAGGACAGTCAGTCAGTCAGTCATTCAACAAACAGTCATGAAATACATCTCAGGGATGGAAGTTACGATGACACTGAGCCTATGACTATTGTCAGGGACTGACTTCAGAGAGAAAGCACTCACTTGCCTTCATTCATTCAGCAACTACGTATGGGGTCATCTCAGTGCTGAGCCCGTGCTAGGCACTGGATGATGTCAAAGGAGACCAAAGGAGTCCTTGCCTTTAAGGAAGCAGCAAAAAAAACAGTGATCAGACATTGAGGAAATAAATACCAGTGTGCAGACTTCTGGGAAGGGGATGCTGTGGTGCTTGGTGGGGGTGGGTGGTAGGGGTCCGACCTAGTCTGGAGGGTCAGGGAAGGCTGCCCTGATGAAGGGGCTTTTACACTGAGAATGGAAGGTTGGTGGTTTGAGCCCTGCTGTCTGAGGGCTTGAAAGGATGAGCTGACACTCAGCAGGCAGAGAAGTGGGCGGCCTCCCATCTGAGGACACAGCCCAGGTCTGGTTGTGGTGGTGAGAGGTCATCAGACTTGGTTGGCAGATCAGAAATAGTTCTAGATACTCTTTAAACCTTTAACCAAAACTATCCCCTGAAGTCATCTTTAAACAACAGTTGAGCTCAATTAGCAAAGAACATATGCCTTAAATATTGTACTCTTAAAAGATTATATATATGAGACCAAAGTGACAGCAGTAATTCTAAAGCATAGATGAGAAGACTAGGGGGGCAGTGAATCTTAAGTTAATAGGGCTGAAACAGTTTGAGTAGAAATAGGGAGATTGTTGACAGAAAGTGAAGACTGTAGCCAGTGCCACTGAACTGTACGTGTAGAAATTGTCGGAGGGGTGCATGTTTTGTTCTGTATACTTTCACCAAAAATAAAATAAATATTTGAAAAAAATAAAGAGAAACAATTCTCGAGGACCAGGATGTAGGGCACGTAAGAGAAGGGAGGTGAGGCTGGATCACATGTCAAGGGGGCTTGAATGACACGCTAAGGAATTTTTTTTTTTTAATTGTACTTTAGATGAAGGTTTACAAAGTAATTAGTTTCTCATTAAACAATTAATACACATATTGTTTTGTGACATTGGTTGCCACCCCATGACATGTCAACACTCTCCCCTTCTCGACCTTGGATTCCCTATTACCAGCTTTCCTGTGCCCTCCTGCCTTCTAGTCCTTGCCCCTGGGCTGGTGTGCCCCTTTAGTCTTGTTTTGTTTTATGGGCCTGTGTAATCCTCGGCTGAAGGGTGAACCTCAGGAGTGACTTCAGTACTGAGTTAAAAGAATGTCCAGGGGCCATACTCTTGGGGTTTCTACAGTCTGTCAGACCAGTAAGTCCGGTGGGGGTTTTTTTGTGAGTTAGAATTTTGTTCTACATCTTTCTCCAGCTCTGTCCAGGACCCTCTATTGTGATCCCTGTCAGAGCAGTCGGTGGTGGTAGCTGGGCACCATCTAGTTGTGCTGGACTCAATCTGGTGGAGGCTATGGTAGTTGTGATCCATTAGTCCTTTTGGACTAATCTTTCCCTTGTGTCTTTGGTTTTCTTCATTCTCCCTTGCTCCAGACGGGGTGAGACCAGTGGAGTATCTTAGACGGCCACTCACAAGCTTTTAAGACCACAGATTCTACTTACCAAAGTAGGATGTAGAACATTTTCTATATAAACTATATTATGCCAGTTGAGCTAGATGTTCCCCGAGACCATGGTCCCCAGCCCTCAGCCCAGTAATTCAGTCCCTCAGGGAGTTTGGATGTGTCTGTGGAACTTCCATGAACTTGCCTTGGTCAAGTTGTGCTTACTTCCCCAGTATTGTGTACTGTCTTACCCTTCATCATAGTTACCACTTACCTATTGTTTAACCCATTGCTGTCGAGTCAATTCCGACTTGTAGTGACCCTATAGGACAGAGTAGAACTGCCCCATAGGGTTTCCAAGGAGTGCCTGGTGGATTCAAACTGCCGACCTTTTGGTTAGCAGCTGAACTCTTAACCACTGTGCCACCAGGGTTTCTGATCTATTGTCTAGTTAGTGTTATACCCTCCCCAACCCTCCCCTCCCTTGTAACCATCAAAGATTGTTTCTTTTTGTGTGTAAACCTTTTCATGGTCTCATACAATATTTGTTCTTTTTTGATTGACTTATTTCACTCAGCATGATGCCCTCCAGATTCATCCATGTTGTGAGATGTTTTGCAGATTCATCATTGTTCTTTATCATTGCATAGTATTCCATTTTGTGTATGTACCATAGTTTATCCATTCATCTGTTGATGGGTGCTTAGGTTGTTTCCGTCTTTTTGCTCTTGAGAATAATGATGCAGTGAACATGAGTGTACATATGTCTGTTCACGTGACAACTCTTATTTCTTTAGGATATATTCCTAGGAGTGGGATTTCTGGATCATATGGTATTTCTATTTCTAGCTTTTTAAGGAAACACCATATCGTTTTCCAAAATGGTTGTACCAGTTTGCATTCCCACCAGCAGTGCCTAAGAGTGCCTCTCTAACATTTGTTATTTTCTGTTTTTTTGATTCATGCCAGTAATGTTGGAAAAATGCTAAGGAATTTGACTTTATCAGTGTTCATAGTGGGCAGCCAACGTTCATGGCTTATTGACGGTAGGGAGTGTTTTTTACTCAACCTTGTGGCCCTAAGTCTAGCACCAGGCCTGCCCAAGAGGCCTCGAGATGCACTTGTTGATGGATGAAGCAAACCAGTCAGCTAGATGGGCTGGGGCATTGGAGGGAAGGAGACGGCATAGGTTGGCAGATCTGGATTCTCCTTCCACTTAATGCTCATTGGCAAATTAGGCAAACAAGGTTCAGGCCCAGCTGGCATTTCATTGCCTACCTGCTTAGCACAGAGAATTTGCCAGAACAGATGATTAAAGACGAGCCCAGAGTAATAGTAAAAAGTCTTCAGTGTGGAGAGGAAGGAAGGACTTCCATTGGTGCACACAAGGCTCCTGAGCTCCACCACCTGGTCGGTCCTCACCTGGGCACAGGTGACAAGCCCAAGCTGTAACACAAAACAGAAAAGACTGCCATCAGCCTTCAAGTCCTTGCTCCAATATCACCCCAACAAGGCTCACCCTGATCATCCTATTTAAAATGGCACCCTTCTCTCTCTGGCACGCAGATTCCCCTTACCTTGTTCTGTTTTTTCTCACAGCACTTACTACCTTCCGCGTGTGATTTACTTATTTTGTTTCATACTTCTTGTTTGTTTCCACAAGACAGTGGTTTTGTCTGTTTTGTTCACTGATCTAGTCCAAGTGCCTGGGCTAGCATGGTGCCTGCCACACGGGACATGATGCAATAGATGTTGAATGAATGAGTAGTAATAATGCTGGTGAACGATTATTGAGTGCTGGCTTTGTGCCAACACTAGGCTAAGCCCCTTCCTTACATGTATTATTTAATGTAATTGTCACAAAGCCCTGTGAGATAAGGGCCTGTGTTTTTATCCCCAGTTTGCAGATGAAGAAACTGAGGCTCAGTGATTTACCCAAGGTCATACAACTAGTCAGGAGCCCTGGTTGCGCAGTGGTTAAGAGCTCGGCTGCTAACCAAAAGTTGGCAGTTCGAATCCACCGGTCGCTGTTTGGAAATCCACCAGTGCTACTCTGTCCCGCAGGGTCACTGTGAGTCAGAATTTACTTGACGGCAGTGAGTATACACAGCTAGTCAGAAGAGGATCCAGAATGAGACCACAGGTGTGAGGGGCTGAGCTTCAGGGCCTTAGTGACCACATAGCCATCACGGACATGTACCTGACATGGGGAGGCGTAGGGACAAGAAGTCGGGGGCCATCACAGCTAAAGAGAAACGTCTCCTTCTGAGGAAAGAGGCAGAGTGCGCAGGGATGATGTGACAAAGCGGTGGGTCTGTGCTCTTTTCAGTGAATGGTGTGCAGCGTGGGTTTTTTTACAAGAGAAGGCAGAGTGTGGTTGAAGCAAATTCCCCAGGATTAGCTGGAGGCCCTCACTGGGTCCCTGAGTGGGTGCTGGTGAGGGGTGGGTTCAGCTGGGCCTGTGGGGAACAGGGAGGTCCTGGTCACAGACAGGCCATGGGAGGCAAGAGAAGGAAGGGGTGCCTTTGAAGTCCCCAGCTCTTGCCTGGGGCTCACTGTTGGTCCCTGGGGAGAGTGTGTGGGGTGGAGGCTGGGAGACTTGGGGGCCAGCAGTGTGGCCCAGGCCAGCCAGCCACGGGCTTGGGGGCTACAGCTGGCCCAGGAGGTCTGTCAGGGCCTCCACCTCACTGGGCTGCCCATTGCAGAATCCACACAGGCGACAGACCGTACAAGTGCCCACATCCTGGCTGCGAAAAGGCTTTCACTCAGCTCTCCAACCTTCAGGTGAGTAGTGCCTGCCTGCCTCGTGCCCACCAGGTGCACAGCTTTTCCCCCCACCCCTCCCACAAGGGAGCATAAGAAGGGGGTAGGGCTTGGGAGTCCTGCCCATCTCGTGACCCCTTGCCATGCTCCCCACAGTCTCACCAGCGCCAGCACAACAAGGACAAGCCCTACAAGTGTCCCAACTGCTACCGGGCCTACTCAGACTCCGCCTCCCTACAAATCCACCTGTCGGCCCACGCCATCAAGCACGCCAAGGCCTACTGCTGCAGCATGTGTGGGCGGGCCTACACCTCGGTGAGTGCCGGCCCTGCCAGTGTTGGGGTCGCTGGCGTCCCTGGGGAGCCCCATCTTTTCCCTGGGCCTCAGCTTCCTCCTCCTCCTCAGATCTACACTGCCTCTCCCCATTTCCAGACAAGGAAACTGAGGCCCAGAGAGGGGAAGTGGCTCCCTAAGATCACAGTGAGTGGCAGAGCCAGGGCTTGAACCCAGGACTTCTGCTTCCTAGTTCTGGGTGAGCTCCCCGCCCCTTGCCTCCCTTAGCCTGGATTCTTGAGGCATGGTTCAGTCCAGGCCCTGGCATACCCAGGGAGGGAGCAGGGAGCCTGAGAGAGAGAAGGGCCTTCCTGCTGCTGGTGAAACTGCAACTCCCATCATGGCCACAAGGTGGCACAGTGACTTGACCCAGAGCCACCCCTGAAGTCTCAGGAAAGGCCTGAAGAGTACCAGAAAGGTCATCACATCTAACCCCCTGTCCCTGGGTGGGAGTTTTCCCAAAAGAGGGCCAAACAGCACCCAGAAGAGGGAAGCCAGGTGAGTCACCTGTGTGTGTGCTTCTGGTTAATCAAATGTTCTGGTTAACAGATCGCCTTGTATGCCCAGCATAGAGGTTTCTGAGCCTCAGTTTCTTCATCTGTAAAACAGAGGAGGTAATAATTCTTAACTCATAGAACTGCTGGCTGGTAGAGTCAGTGGCTAGTAAACCTAGCTATTACAATTATCTATTCACTCAGTGTTTACTGAACACTTGTGCCAGGTACTTCAGAATCAGGAGGAACCAAACAGACACATTCCTTGCCCCCAGGGAGGGTAGCATCTGCTGGAGGAGACAAACGTTAAACAAGTAACCACATGAATAAAGATGTCATGAAAAACTAATAATTGCCACAAAGAAGGCTATCTTAACTTCAGCACTACTGACGATTCTTTGTTGTAGGGGGCCATTGTGTGCATTGTAGGATGTTTAGCAGCATCCTTGACCTCTACCCACTAGATGCCAATAGCAACCCCAACCCCCAGTTGTGCCAACTGAAAGTGTCTCCAGACATCACCAAATGTTCTCTGGGAGGCAAAGTCACCTCCATTTGAGAACCACTGTGATAAAGGAAGGAGCCCTGGTGGCACAGTGGGTAAGAGCTCAGCTACTAACCGAAAGGTCAGTAGTTCGAATCCACCAGCCACTCCTTAGAAACTCTATGGGGCAGTTCTACTCTGTCCTATAGGATCTCTATGAGTTGGAATTGACAGCAGTGGGTTTGGTTTTTTGGGTGATAAAGGAAAAGTATGTTTTGAAAGACAGCAGCAGGGAGGACAAAATGTAGAGAAGGGGGGTGCTGCTGGTTAGGGACCAGTTCTGAGAACCACTAGTAGAGCAGTGCTTCTCAAAATTTATTATACGTAAGAATCACCTGGGGATCTTGTTAAAATGTAGATTCTGATTCAGTATATCTGGGGTAAAAACCAAAACTCATTGCCGTTGAGTCGATTCCGACTCATAGCGACTCTATAGGACAGAGTAGAACTGCCCTATAGGGTTTCCAAGGAGCACCTGGTGGATTCAAACTATGCATACCCCTATTTTTTTAAGTAAAACCTAGATGTCATGATTTCATTTGTAAAAATTTCTAAATTTTTTGTTTGTCTCTAAAGATAAGGACTCCTTTTTTTGTACATATCCACAATGCCAGTATGATATCTAAAGATAATTAATTCTAACTCTTTAATATAATCAAATACCCAATCAAATACCATTTCCATTTGTCTCATGAATGCCATAATTTTATTTATTTACAACTTTATTCTTTAATCAAGATCCAGATACGGTTCCTACATTGCAACTGGTCGATAATATCTCTTAAGTCTCTTTTTTAAATTTTATTTTGTTGTTACCATTGAGAATATACACAGCAGAACATACACCAATTCAACTATTTCTACATGTACAATTCAGTGACACTGATTGTATTCGAGTTGTACAACCATTCTCACCCTCCTTTTCTGAGTTGTTCCTTCACCATTAACATAAACTCACTGCTTCCTAAGGTTCCTGTCTAATCTTTTGAGTTGCTATTGTCACTCTGATCCCATATTAAAAAACAAACAAACAAACGCGTTATGGTCGATTCGATTCCGACTCATAGCGACCCTGTAGGACACAATAGAACTGCCCCATGGAGTTTCCAAGGAGTGCCTAGTGGATTCAAACTGCCAGCCATTTGGTTAGCAGCCATAGCTCTTCACCACTACGCCACCAGGGTTTCCATGATCCCATATAGATAGTTCTTAAAAGTGCATAATGCTCAATACAGACATTTTTAACTAGTTAAGTTAAACTATCGCTTGGTTTTAAAATGACTTCAGGGGATGTTTTTGGTTTCAATTTTAAGGGCGATATCAGGGCAGTATCAGGGGTTCATCCAGCATCTCTTAAGTCTCTTTTAATCAATAGATTCTGTCCCCTCTTTTTTGTTTGCAATTTATTTGTTGAAGAAATTCGGTTATTCGTCCTTTAGTTTCCTGGTTTGGATTTTGCTGATTATGTCCCTCTGGTGTCATTTAATAGCGTGTTGCCACCACATTTGAGGGCTTCCTCTGCCGGATTCTGAGCAAATTGAGGGATGAGGCCAAGGAGTGGCAGGTGGGGAACCAGAGTACCAGCTCTGTTACTGATACAGGCCAAGCGGGAGGACGAGGCTTAGTGCCAGAGCCTTGGGGCCTGCAGGTGAGGCCCTGGGTGGCCTTGCCATCATCATGGGCATCCTAGGTCAGGCTTAGCAGAGCTTGTGGGGGCTCGAGGGATGAGTTGAGCATGCCCAGTTTATGTTTCCCGAGCTCACCAAGCAGACTAGGTAGGGTCGAGTGAGGGGTGGAGGGAGAGGCCAGAGGTCCCACTACCACCTGGAATGAAATATGGAGACTGGGGAAGCAGCAGTTGCTCAACCCTTGTTGTTGGCGGATGCTGTTGAGTTGATTCCGACTCATAGAGACCTCATATGACAGAGTAGAACTGTCCCATAGGGTTTTCTAGACTGTAACCTTTATGGAAGCAGATCACCAGGTCTTTCTCCTGCAGAGCTGCTTGCCTTTTGGTTAGCAGCCAAGCACTCCTTACTAGATGCTGAGGGCTTTATCCTCATCACCGTAACAACCCTTTGAGGTTGTTCCTTCAGCATCCCCACTTCAGAGGAGGAAACTGAGGCTCAGAGGGGTACGATGACTTGTTCAAGATCCCACCACTAAAGAATGGCAGAACTAGGTTCAAACTGAGGCTTACTGACTTGCCCTCAATGGGAGCATTGTCCATACTGGGAGGAGCTGTGCTCGGCCTGGTGAGGCTGCGGTTCAGCCAGCACACCTTGGTACAGTTGATAAAATGGCTGCTGGCCTGGTCCAGGGGATCCCCAGGTGGGCACCACTGAACGGCCAGCATGCTGTGGGCTCAGCCTCCAGAAAGTGAGCCAGCATCCCTGGGGCCAATTCCTGATGTCAACCTGACCCTAGAGCCGTGTCAACCCACCCCCAGCTGGCCTTCCTACCAAGGTTCCCTCCAGTGGCCGCTTGTGGAATTGCAGCCTCCACTGCATTCCCTGAAAAAAAAACAAAAACCCATTGTGGTCCACTAGATTCCAACTCATGGCAACCCCATGTGTGTCAGAGTAGAACTGTGTTCCACAGGGTTTTCAATGGCTGTAATCTTATGAAAGTAGATTGCCAGGCCTTTCTTATAAGGCACCCCTGGGTGAATTCAAACTGCCAACCTTTCCGTTAGTTGATGTTAGTTGCCATCAAGGCAGCTCCGACTCAGTGACCCCATGTGTGCAGAGTAAAATCGCTCCACAGGGTTTTCAAGGCTGTGACCTTTCAGAAGCAGATTGCCAGGCCAGTCTTCCGAAGCACCTCCAGGTTGGTTTGAACCACCAACCTTTTGGCTGGTAGCTGAGTGCAAACCGGTTGCACTGCCCGGGGACCACATGTTCTAAATTCTTTTCTTGCCCACAGGAGACCTACCTGATGAAGCACATGTCCAAACACACGGTGGTGGAGCACCTGGTGAGCCATCACTCACCCCAGAGGACGGAGTCCCCCGGCATCCCCGTGCGAATCTCTCTCATCTGAGCCGACCGAGGCGCCACCCCGCCCGGCCCGCTGGCAGACGCAGACCCGGCATCACCAGGCCCCAGCTCCCTCCGGGGGCCTCCAGGAACAGCCGAGCTCTCTCACAACCTTCCCAACCTTTCGGGAGGCCTGGGCGGCAGAAGCCCTACCTGGGCCGGCTCCAGGGCGGTCAGGCCAACCTCAAGATTCTGGACTATTTTGGTGGCATCCAAAGACGATCTCAGAGCACTTTGAATCTCTCTGTTGAGTTTTCTTTTTTGTTCCCCACCCTTCACTTTCTTCACTGTTTTTTTTTTGTTTTTTTTTTTTTTTTTTTTTTTTAAGTTTTGGAAATAACAGAAAAAAGATATTTATTGGCCAAGACGTTGGTGCTGCTAAGACCGAGAAATTAAAAGAATCGGACAGATGGACACAGAGAATCAGAGGGCAGCGTGGGACCTTCTCTTGCCACGGCCTCAAGTCTTGAGGGAAGGCTCAGGCCTGGGTTTCTGGACTGCACAGGGGACCCGCAGGTGGGAGGGGGCAGGAGGCAGCTGGAGTGCGCTCCTCATCCCTGGCTGCCCAGCTAGCACCTCTCCAGCTGTGCCCTGGGCATTACTGAGCAGAGGGATGAGGCAGCTACCAGAGTTGCCCAGGCTTCAGGAGGCGGAAACCAGAGAGGGGCCAGGAGATCTGCAGGACCAAAGGGTGCAGTGATGGGCTGGGCTGGGCGGCAGGCCCAGGGAAGTGGGGTGGGGGCGGGCTGGATGAGACCTGGCCCCTCGCTGCCCTGATGACCACCCCAGTCTACCTCGGTGCTGGCCAGGAAACCTATCGGCTACCTCTCCCGCCATCCCAGACTGTGGGCAGGGGGACGGGGAGGGAGTGGGCCTGGGGCTCGAATCCCCCTCCAGAATTTCCTCCAGATGGGGGCAGTGCCCAGGGAGGGGCTGTTAGTCTTCCCTGCTATGGAGGAGGAGATCCCCAGCCTAGGCCCTAGGCCCCTCGGCAGGGAAGGGATCCTCAGAACGGAGGGTTCCAGGAGCAGACCCCTGCCCCCAGCCCCCAGCCCCCACAGACACACCCCAATCTGAAAGCCATGCGTGTCCGTGTATATAGGAACCATGTACAGAGCCCGGAGAAGCTCCCCCATATCCCCCCAGGAAAAAGAAGCTAGACAGAAACTCATCTATATATTCTGTATCTGGAGTTCCGTTTTGAATATTAACTGTGTTATTTTTATACACTTTTAAGCCTTAACTCGCCATTGATTTACCAGTTTAACGTTTCCTGGGGTTTCTTTTCCCGTGGGGTTCTCTGCCCCCACCCCACCCACTTTGTTTGACTTGCGTTGTCTGATACTCAGTATTGTAGCTTTTCGTCCGCATGTTACTACCCTGTAAATACGCTGTTATACATACTGTTAATACCCCTTTGCTTTTTTTTATGGGACCTCCAGGCCACCATATTTAGAACTAGTTACCTTATTAAAAAAGAGAAAACAGTCTGTTGGCTTCTCAGTCTGCATCTTGGTGGCAGGGAGGTAAGGGCAGGTGCCCCTCAGACACGTTAAGAAAGAAGTTTGCGTTATATTTTAAAAGGGGGGTAGGGAGCAAAGTAAAAATCAAATGTGGGGGGAAAACACTAAAGGGGGCAAGAAACAAAGGAATTACAAACCCTCTGCTCTTTGTATTTCTCTGTTGTGAATAAACTGTACCTGCACCTGGGTGGCGGTGGTGTGTGGCGTGCTCTGTGCGAGGGCAGGGCTGGGGGGCACCTTTCCACTGCTCCTCTCCCCTCCCCCGCCCCCCTAGACTTGGGGAAGGAAGGGAGTAACCCCTTATTGTGGACTTGGTGCTAAGTTAAGTGCTTTATGTTCATTATCAAACAACAACCCTGTGAAGTGGGTAGCAAACCAAAGGGGGTTTATTACCAGGGATCATGCTGCAATTAAGTGGTAGAGACATACATTTAACCCTGTTCTATCTGGTTCTGAAGCCTTTTTAGATGCGCTGGGTCCTCCAATGAGGTTTGCTGCCCCTGCTCCTAGGGGCAGCTACATCCAGTCACCTCCACCCCCTTTGGGGGTCCATAATGAGTGCCCTGAATTGTGGAAGATATTCCCGTGATTAGAGGCCCTCAGGAAGCCCCATAGTTTCCCCACAGGGGGTCAGTGTTTTGATTGCTTGGGAGGGAAATGCAGGAATGAGTTTGATAAAATCTGTCAGGGCCAGCCCTGTGCTAGATACGAGCAAGGGAGACAGAGTAACTGTGGATGAATTGCCAAGGAGCTCACCTTCAGGGAGTTCACGTCCTCCTCTGAGCCCTCACAGTCCTCGTGTGTCCAGACCTGGTTGCAAGTGATAGAGAGCCCAACCCAAACGGGGATTTATGGGCTCATGAAGAGGATAATGCAGGGGTCAGGCCAAGACTCAAATAATATCTCTCCAGCTCTCCACTTGGTTGTGTCCTCAGAGTCAGTGTCATCCTTGCACTCCTGTGGGGTCAGCAGCTCCAGCCTCATAGCCCCCAGGTTCGCAGCAGGGAAGCCTCTGCCTCTCTCAGAACCACCAGCAAAAGTCAAGTTGGGTCTTGTTGGTTCTGACTGGATCGGGTACTATCCTTGAACCAATTACCGTAAGGAGGAGAATGTGATTGGCTGAGGCCTAGGGCCCATGCTCTAAGCCTAGAGCAGATGGTGAAGCACTCATCTGAAGTATATCTCCCCAAGAGAAAATCAAGGTGTGTTACCATCAGAAGGGGCAATGGATATCAGGTAGCCAAGAACCAGCATGTTTTGAGTAATCTCACAGGGCCTTTTATCTTTCTTTGAAATTGGCCTCCCATAGTCCCCTGTGCCATGAAGGGATAGGTTCTGGCAGCCATATTTGTGCCATGTGACCCGGTCCTAGCCACAGCTGATTGGCCAAGGCAGGACACTGAGGGACTCAATCAGCGGGCAGCCAGTGGAGTGCTGTAGCTGGCTGCCCTGGCTCATGAGAGCAGATCGTGCACATCTCTTCCCAACTCCACATTCAGTGACTTTAAATCAGCCATGGTGGGATTTACACAGCTGAAGTTGGCAAACACTACAAATCAGGGATTTCTTTTTTCTCAAATTACCACACAAATAGTTAAGCGCACAATTACTAACCAAAAGGATGGCAGTTTGAACCCACCCAAAGGCGCCTTGGAAGAAAGGCCTGCTGATCTGCTTCTGGAAGATCACAGCCTTGAAAACCCTATGGAGCTACAATTCTACTCTGACACACTTGGAGTCACCATGAGTTGGCCTTGACTCAATGGCAACTGGTTAAACATTTACCAGCACACCACTGAATGGAACCACCTCTCCTTTTTCACAAATTAGGAACAAGTCAGTTCTAAGCATTAGACATGTATTGATTCATTTAATCCTCACATCCACTGTTAACGATTGAATTGTGACCGCCCAAAAATACATGTTTGAAGTCCTAATCCCTGTACTTGTGAAAATGACTGTCTTGGTTATCTAGTGCTGTTATAACAAAAATAATACAAGTGGATGGCTTCATCAAACAGAAGTTTATTCTCTCACAGTCTAGTAGGCTAGAATTCCAGATTCAGGGCATCAGCTCCAGGGGAAGGCCTTCTCTTTTGGCTCTGGAGGAAGATCCTTGTCATCAGTCTTCCCCTGGATTAGGAGCTGCTCAGCGCAGGAACCTCAGGTCCAAAGGACACGCTCTGCTTCTGGTGCAGCTTTCTTGGTGGTATGAGGTCCCCATGTCTTTCTGCCCGCCTCTTTCTTTTAAATCTCAAAAGAGATTGGTTTAAGATACAACCTAATCTTGTAGATTGAGTTCTGCCTCATTAACATAACTGCTGCTAATCCCATTTTACTAACATCATAGAGATAGGATTTACAACACATAGGAAAATCACATCAGATGACAAAATGGTGGACAATCACACAATACTGGGAATTATGGCCTAGCCAAGTTGACAGATAGCTTTTGGGGGACACAATTCAATCCACAACAGTGACCCTGTTTGGAAATAGAGTCTTTGAAGATGTTATTAGTTAGGTTAACACGAGGTCATTCCATGGATTAGGAATGAATCAGTTAGGAGATGGGAAACCCCGGAGGGTGGAGGCTGGAGTGACTGTGTTGGGGCAGACATACGCAGAAGGATAAAGAAGGCGGAAAGAAGCAGAGATGGACAGAGGAGATGGACAGCCCATGGCAACCCCAGTTCCTGACTTTCAGTCTCCATCTTCTGGCCAGGTTAAATTTCCTGTTTTGTTCTTACATCAATGAATTTAAGTTGCTAGTGGTGTGACATTGGGTAAATTACCTACCCTTTCTGTGCCTGATTTCCTCATCTGTAAAATGGGGGAAATAATAATGAATTTACAAGATAGATATATTAGTTTCTGTCATGGTTTGAATTATGTCCCCCCAAAAATGTGTGTATCAGTTTGGCTGGGCCACGATTCCTGGTATTGTGTGATTTTCCTATATGTTGTAAATCCTGCCTCTGTGATGTTAATGAGGGAGGATGGGTGGCAGTTGTGTTAGTAAGGCAGGACTGGATCTACAAGAATGGATTGTGTCCTGAGGCAATCTCTTGAGATACAAAAGACAGAAGTGAGCAGAGAGACAGGGAGACCTCATACCATCAAGAAAGCAGTGCCGGGAGCAGAGCGCGTCCTTTGGACCGGGGTCCCTGAGCCGAGAAGCTCTTAGTCTGGGGGAACACTGAAAAGAAGGCCGACAGAGAGAAAAAGCCTTCCCCTGGAGCTGATGCGCTGAATTTGGACTTTGAGCCTGCTTTGACTATGAGGAAATAAACTTCTCTTCATTAAAACCATCCACTTGTGGTATTTCTGTTATGGCAGCACTAGGTAACTAAGAGTTTCCTAGGGCTTCCGTAACAAAGTACTATACTACAGCGACCCTATAGGACAGAGAAGAACTGCTCCATAGGGTTTCCAAGTAGCAGCTAGTAGATTCGAACTGCCAATCTTTTGGTTAGCGGCCATATCTCTTAACCCTGTGCGACCAGGGCTCCGTTTTATACTTAAGGGTAGAGATTTAATACAATTATTTTTTTTTTTTATTGTTTCATCAAGGCATTTTTAAGTGAAACTGGTATGGTTATTTTTGTTACTGTGCGTGCGTGGCAGTGAAGAACACAGTGACTAGCGGTATAGTTTGGTGTCACTGCCTTGATTAGTGCTAAGGGTTCAGCTGTTTTACCCACCATTGCTTTTGCACCATCAGTGCAAATGGCAGCACAGTGGGAAAGGCAGATAGCATCTCAGTGTTGTTATAAAAAAAAAGTGTAAAGTTCACAGGTCCCCTGAAAAGGTCTTGGGGACCCACAGGGGATGGCAGACCACACTGTGAGAACTGCTGATCTAATACTTTATTCACCGGTCGACAAAATACCTATTTATCAAATGCTTACCATGTCCCAGCCTGTTCTAGGTTCTGAGTATTGAGTGTACTAGGTACCCAAGATCTCTGCTCTCATACAGCCAAAAATTCTTGTAGAGTGAGGCAGAAAATTAACAGATAAATGAACAAGATAAGTGCCTTGGAGAAAATAAAGCAGGGTAACTTAAAGGAGAGTGGCTTGGAGTAGTTAATTTACCTTTATCATTCACTAAAGTATCCACTAGTCCTCCAGTGGCTATTTTAATTTTAATCAAGTAAAATAATTCAGTTTCTCAGTCACACTAGCCACATTTCAAGTGCTCAGTAACCACATGGAGTTAGTGGCTACTGTACTGGACAGTTGAGCCCTGGTGGCACAGTGGTTAAGAGCTTGACTGTGAACCAAAAGGCTGGCAGTTTGAATCCACCAGCCACTCCTTGGATACCCTATGAGGCAGTCCCACTCTGTCCTATAGAGTCGCTATGAGGTGGAATCGACTGAACCGCAATGGGTTTTGCTTTTTTTTTTTTGGATTGGACAGTGCAGATATAGAACCTCTCCAACATTACAGAAAGTTTTATTGGACATTGCTGATTTTGACCATGTGATAAAGAAAACGTGACTGAAAATTTGGGGACAGAGAATTGAAGGTGGAGGAAACAGCAAGAAGGCCAAGGAAGGGTACTGGAGTGTCGTCCACATGGATGAGCAGGACTTTAGGAGAGACTGCCAGACAGAGAACCAGAAACCCGAATCCTGGATGGATGGAGGAGAGTGGCAGGGAGGGTGGTCAACGGAGGTGATGAGGAGGGTGGAGGAGCAGAGCCGGGACACAGGACACTCAGAGGAGGAGGAGGAGTTTATTTGGTAAAGAAAATCATACATGCCCATGGAACGTGAATGGTGGTTATCTGCAGGGTTAGGGAGGATTATAGGTGATTCTGATGTCCTTTTTATACTTTTCTGGGTTTTGCCCTCAAGTTTTCTACCATAACCTTTTTTTTTTTTCAGATTTCTAAAGAAATGTAAAAGATAGAAAAAACACAAAGAATAATGTAACAAATGCACCTATTCACACCATCCAGAATTTATAATTGTAATCACGTCATATTTACTTTTTAAAAAAATAAAATCTTAAAGCTACAACTGAAGTCCCCTTTAACCGCCTCCTCTCCTCCCAGGCAAGCACTGGCAGTTGGTTTTCAGTTTCACATACATGTATGTTCATACATCCACCCCCATCTGTCAGTGTGTCATACTATGGTGGCTTGCATGTTGCTGTGAGGCTGGAAGCTATGTGTAAAAATG